ATTGGTTACTTCCATTTTATTAAATGGTTAAGCAAAGCCGATGCGATATTACTTTGTTCATTGGCTATTAAGTGGTTAAGACGAGTCGATACGATTAAACCTAGTGGCCTATTCGAAGCAGTAGTAGAAGATGCGATGATACTTAAGTAATAGAAAAATAAATTTCGTTCACGAGAAAGGATAAAAAGGCCGAAGCCAGTACACAGGCAATGGAATTTACAAATTAATCCAAATCCACTATGTTGGCCTCCTCCCCCTCGTCCTCCATCGTGGCCGGCCCCCAGTGGGGCCCCTGAACTCTTCTTCCAAAAACTCGATGTCCAGTTTAGGGTGCCTCTCATGGAGGAGAGACATCATTTCCTTTGCTGCCCAGGAAGCCCAATAGTTGGCGAAGTCATCGTACTCTGCCGTGTTTTCAAAATTGTCCTTGTAATTCTGGACTGCCACTTCACCAACCGTCTTCACCTCGGCCTTCAAAGAATCGATCTCTTCTGCCTGGGCCTTGGAGAGCTTCTTCAATTCAGCCTTCTCCTTATTAGCCTCCCCTAGAGCCTCGGAGGTGAGCTATTAATGCTCGTTAGACTGATCAATCCTCTTGGTTAAGGCCGCCACTTGGGAGATGGACTCATGAAGCTCATGCTTCAGCAGATTTACTTGGACTTCGGCCGAATCCAGCTTGGTAGTGGGATGATCCATTTCTCCTCTACCTCCCTCTTTGTCTTCTCCACCTCGACTTCCCAAGTCTCGGAGGCCTTCAACCTCTCTTTCAGCTCGTCATTCCTTTTGCGGAGCCTTTTGACCAGATCCTCCGCCGCAGGGCCCATACTTAGGGCCCTGGCCATGCACGCATTATTCGTAGCCAACATATCCTTTACTTCACACGAGGATGAGTGGTTTTGCCAATCTTCTATCCAATACTTTCCATGGATCGGGCTGCAGAGGCTGTTGCGGGAGGCAGCATTTCCAAAACTGCCTCAGGGAAATCCTCATCTTCACTCCCCAAGAAATTTGTGGCCTTGCCTCGGGCTAGAGCTATCGCAGGCTTTTTTAGTCTCTTTTTGGCGGGGCCCTCAGAAAAACGAACAGTGATTGGTACAATGGCCTGAGAAGTGGCCAAAGGAACCGCGATAGTCACCCCGACACTAGGAGGAGGAATGGTATAAGATCGAGCGAAAGTAGAAGCCCCGGTTGGGCCGGCTCTCTTCTTCCTCGGGACGAGGGAGGAGCCTTCCTCCTCCTCGTTCTCCTCAGCAGTCTGCTGTCCAACTTTGCTGAGGGATAACAGATGCTCTGACTACTTTTTATATGCAACCGAGCTTATTTTCAATACTTTCGCCTCAGTAACCGACCTGCGGATGCTGGCGAAATCGGGCCTCAACGCTTTTTTCTTTGCGAAGTCTCCTGCAAACAAGGCAAACTGATAAGTACTTGAGGCAAAAGCAAAAACACGGAAAGAGCTTAATCGGGGTATTTACCTTGGTTCGACATCAGTCCGTGGGCGATGAAGTGAGTGTTCTTGTCGATGATCTCTTTATAGCTCTTTTCCTTTGGAGGCAGCTGGTAGAGCTGGCTTACGATATCCCATTCCTCCTCCGATATCTCATACCTTGGCAAAGATCCTGCAAGTGATGTATATTAAAAACATGAGCAAAATACACAAGTGAAATCAGCTCGAGAAAGGAACTTACTGTAAGTTGAATACGGAGTGGGAACAGTAAGAGGCGTCATGGGGTCGCCCTCCATAGTGTCCCACCTACCCAGAACCATGAGCTCCTCCAGCACTTTATAGAAGTAGGAAGCTCAGTTACAAAAGGAGTGTGGGACCCCTACGATGCCAAGTGATACTAACCCTTCGTCTCGTCTCCTCCAGCCACACACTTCGGCAGAAACATGGAATGGAATACACTAAAGGGCATATCCATCTCGATGCTGGCTCTTCGCCATAGCATCCATGTCCCTACCATCTGAGACCAGAAATTAAGGTTAAGCTGCGTCGGGGCCAACCCATATGACCTAAGTACTAACCTGAAGAAGGGGTGGAAGGGGAGCCTAAGGCTTACCTTAAGTAAACTCTCGACACAGCCACACACCCTGGCCTCGGATAGCGGCCCTCTCATGTGACTCCGGTTCTATCAATTCTATACTATCAGGGATCCTAAAGACGACCCTGCACCTCTCCAGTATCTCTTTGGTAATTTTAGAGGAGTACTTAGAAGCCCCGAATTGAGCCCAAGTGTCTACGGAAGAAGCTGAGTATCTCCAAATATTCTCCCCGGCCTTAATGACCCTACTCAACTCATCCGAAGATACCAATATTGGCTCCATCAGAGTAGAACTCCCATCACCTCTTCTCCCCTCACTCCCGGAGCCACTAATAGACTGTTCGCTCACCATCCCTAATTTTTGGTAAAATCTAAGGAGAAGAATGAGGAAACCGAATCAAGTTTTGTTACCTAGTTCGATAGTTGCTGGAGTTCTCAAGATCAGTCGCCGGTATTCTGGACGGTGGTTGGAGAATGAAGCACGAACATAGGAAATGCAAGAATTCTTTAGAGATTTTCGCAAAACTAAAAGTTTCAAAATGAAAGGGATTGGCCTTTTATAGGCATTCCAAACTCACCCCAGCCATCGGATCACCCAACTTTCATCTGGGTCGTCCAAAGTTGAGGCACAGGGATCTCCGTTAATGCCAAGAATCATTCGAATCAACGGCCTTGATGAAGCAGTAAGGTACACGAGCGACCCAATCACGTTGCCTGGAAGAACGAAAACCATCTCCATCATTACCATTTATGGTAAAGGGGACGTGCCTTGGAAGCCAGCAAACACCCCCATGATTATATTAGGAAGACGCAAAACCCTTCAAATCATTGACACAAAACCCAAGGCTCCCTTCAGAGCCTATTACTTCAGAACTTATAACGCTTCGGCCTCAACAGCTTAGAGTTGCAACAGCTCTCTACAGAGTGCCAACCTATAACGCTTCAACTACTACAGCTTAGCACTGCAACAGCTCTCCATAAAGTTGCCAACCTATAACGCTTTGGCCTCAACAGCTTAGCGTTACAACAGCTCTCCACAAAGTTGCCAACCAATATCGCTTCGGCCACTACAGCTTAGCGCTGCAACAGCTCTCCATAGAGTTGCCAACCTATAACGCTTCGGCCACTATAGCTTAGCGCTGCAACAACTCCATAGAATTGCCAACCTACATCACTTCGGCCAGAATAGAATCTGATGTTATTACAACTTACCTCCTCGAGTTTGCAGTCCATATCACTTCGGCTATCCGCCTCTGGAGCTCGTCCCCGTGCATACCAACTCAAGTCACTGAAATTAAGTCCTCTTACTATATAAATATTCATACATGGACTTGCGGAACTATTGTTACGAGTCGATGTCAGACCCTCCACCTAAATGCCACGTGTCAGCAAAGGTTGCCCACCGTAACATTCGTCAGCCGAGGTGATTACCCCATAAGACGATCTGAGTGCACACTCCGAAGTGATTACATGAAGGACGAACTGAATAGGCGCCATCAAACGAACTGGACTCATTGGCCAATATATCGCGGATGCAAAGGCCCGCACTCCACTTCTATAACGCTGCAATGCCTCACCTCTCCTCATCAAAGATCTCTTGTACAAAGATCTTTCCAAAATCAGTCAAATCAGAAGCTCTTGTCAGAAACATTCAATGCCAGCCAGCCTATGGAGGGATGGATTGAAACCTAGGATAAGACGAACTCTGGAGATATGGCAACTCGTGTCTCCTCATCCAACGGCTCTCCCCTCCCCATCCTTGGTATAAATACTCCCTTCTTATGCCTGAAGAAGGATGGGAATCCAACACTCTCCAAACTACCACTACATTTTGAAATTAAGTATTCTTTTTCCTTGAATATTATTATTTTTTGATACACAATTTGTCAACCACTTCCCGACGAGTGTTCCACCGTCGGTAAACTCTTCTCCGGTTGAACTTCAAACTGACTTGACCGTCAGAGTACTTACGGTCGCTCACAACGCCTCCGGGAAAGGCTACGAGTGACTAACGACGTACCACGTGTGCATGAAGAGATTTTCTGTTGTCTACATGTCGGAGTCATTTTTCGAGGTCAACAGCGTCTATGGGAATGATAACATAGCAGGAAACTCTTTAGATTGGGATAACTTGAACATAATTCAAGGTAGTTTCGAAAAATAAGATTTACAAGATGAATCTCCTCCTAGAGATGAAAACAATGTTGATTTCTCCATGTAAGAGGACATTATTGGTACTTCAACAGAAGTTGTGAGTTCAATTCCATATAGATCGTTAATTAGGATTTCGGAAAATGAGGATGTATATGACGATGAATTATTTCCAACTTAAAGTGCTTTGATATCAAAAATCCAACTCCTTGTTGTGAAGTACCAATTTGAATTCAAAGTAAAGATATCAAATAAGAGTGTGTATACAGTCATTTGTGTTGGGCAAAATTGCAACTGGCGTTTACGAGCAATGAGGATAACTGAATCTGAGATTTTTCAAATACGAAAATATTCTGGCCATCACACTTACTCCATGAGTGTTTGTCGCAGGGATAATAGACATGCTACCTATTCGGTAATTGGAAAGTATTTAGCTCCAAAGTATTAGGATGACAATATAGTGTACAAACCAAGAAACATCATCAATAACGTTCGTCGAGATTTTGGCATAACTATAAAATATCACAATGCGTACATGGCCAAAGGATTTGCTTACAAAGATGTTCCAGGTAGCCATGATGATGGCTATGCAAAGTTACCATTGTATTGTCACGGTTTTGAAAGAAAAAATCTTGGCACATTAACTTACATTGAAACTAATAATGATGGACATTTTATATATATTTTTTCATAGCATTAGGTCCAGCATATGTGGATTCCTCTTTTCAATCCGACGGTTAATTTGTGTGGATGGAACATTTTTGAAATCTAAGTATCGAGATACGTTACTTGTTGCCACATGTCAAGATGCAAATCGTCAAATGTTATCTACTTGCGTGGGGCATAGTAGATTCAGAAAACAATAACTCATGGACTTGGTTCTTTCAGAAATTGCAACAAATAACCGACGACATAGATGAGCTAGTCTTTATATTTGATCGTGCACCAAGCATTGGTTTTAGCAATGTTTATCTTAACGCATACCATGGGCATTGTATATGGCATTTGCAAACTAACTTGAAGAGCAAATTTCCTAGTATTGATATTGTGCCATTGTTTAGAGCTACTGCAGAGGCATATAGTTTAGCAAAATTTGAGATCAATATGCAAGCATTATGCAGTCTACATGAGAAAACCCGGGGATAATTAGAGGATGATGTTGGTGTGGAGTATTGGTCAAGAACACATTTCAATGGAATCAGATACAATAGTATGACCATAAACAATGCGGAATCATTGAACGCATTGTTTAGAAGTGCTCGAGAATTTCCTATACCGCCTTTGATCGAGCATATCAGAGAGAAGATACAAAGATGGTTTTATGATAGACGTGTTGATGCCGAAAAATGTATGAGCTACCTTACCCTACCTTTGGAGGAAAAGATGTATGATATGTCTAACGGGTCAAAAGGCTTCGAGGTGAAAGCTCTTAGCCCAAATGAGATGCAAGTGAGTGTTGAAATGGAAGTTTCATTGTTAATTTGGAGAGGGGGACATGCACATACAATGAATTTGATCGGACCAATTTCCCTGTGCACATGTAATTGCTGTGGATGTTGGAGATAATTGTTACAGGTTTTGCTCTCCATTTTATAGCACTTCTTACTAGAAACAAACTTATTCTAAATATATATATCCATTACCAAACGAAGCTTACTAGAAAATTCCAGATAATGTTCGATCAAGAAAGGTGATACGATCGTTGATACGAAGAGGAAGTGGACGTCCACTAAAAAAATGGAAACAATCAGCCGGAGAGATGCACAAGTCTTGTAAGTGAAGTAGGTGTTTGAAAACTGGGCATAACCGTATCATTTGTACAGATCATGCACCACTCAACGAGAGATATGAACGATGAAAACAAGATGACACATGTGCGGCTTTTGTAGTGTTACAATGTACTACTTTTTTAATATTGAAAAATGATGTACTACTTTTGTTATTTTGAAAAGCAAACTATTTATAATGTTTGAAACGATTGATTTTGTCATCAAATCCACTCATTTCCAATTGAACTCCACCTCTACCAACCAATTGGAGAAATAAATCAATTTTCTTTTCCACTCAATCGAAGTGCTCGACATCTCACCTAGTAGCCTCTCATCAACTCTTTTCATTTCTTGTTTTATTATGTGAGTGATATAATCATAAGAAGATGGTGTGGTCGTCCAGCTGTTTTAGATGAATGTCGATGGCTAGACATAGATGGTCGATCCGATATCTTAGGACATTGTGGGTCACCTTTTCTTGATGGTACATCATCACTCTTAGAATTTTTTCCACCATCATCCTTATACGCGACATTATCCAACTTAGGATTAGCATCATCATCAAAATGTTCGGATTACTGCCAAAATGGCTCCAGCAGTTCATCATATGTAGGATTTAGCGAAATTTGTACCTCAATATGAAAAAACAAGAATGTATAATTATTCAGTAAATTTTTTAGTTATAATTTCAATACGCCATGTAGATTTTAATAAACAAAAGTCACATTTGACTAGGGGAGGGCATAATCCGATTCAGTTCGGTTTTAAAGAGAACTAAACCAAACCCGAAATTTTCGGGTTTTAGTAAATGGAATCGTTGGGTCTAAATTTAATTATGGAACCGTTCGAGTTCGGTTCCATTCGGTTCTATTCGGTTCCGAGATTCTGTACGATAATTAAATTTTTTTTATATTACAACAACACTACATTAATTCGATTATAATATATCTTAACTTTTACAAAATAACATAGTCCAATCTTGTGATATCTTTTACACCTCTCTTTGTTGAGTTCTTCATAGATTTGACTATTAAAATTACAAAAAGAGGAAGATGACTAGTTCACAATAGAATGGTAGAAATGACATAACTATAGAATAAGATATTCGAGTAAAATTTAGGTCAATTTGATTAAGTTGGGCTTGGCCTAAAATTTAAAATAATAAAATCATATTTTTGGTTTTGACTAAATTAATTAGTTAACAATTTATTTAAAAAAATAATTTGACTTATTTAAGATAAAAAAAAATTAGGGAGATTCGATTCTTATTCGATTCTTGGTCTAGAGCTGAGAATAACCCGTCAGTTCTCGATTTAGATACCTGTTCAGATATTTAACTTAAGAAGAACCGCTCGATTCGGGTCCGGTTCGATTCGATTCGGTTCGGGAGTTTTGTCCAGACCTACATTTGGCGATTCCAAAAATTTGCAAAGTACTTCCCCCCTAAGTTGCTTGCACATTTCCCAACCTATCATTCTTGGAATTCTAGAATCATCTGTCACACGACCGAATCTCTTTCCAATACTAGGAATTGCTTCAAATGCCCAAATTTGTACGATCAAAAATTAAATTTTCAGTAACATGATTAAAAAAATGTAATGTATAAAATAGTTTTAGAATATATTATCATGATTGCAAGGGGAAATCCATGCAGGGAATATGGATATCGCTGAGAACTTGTATAATTCTTCAACATTTCTCCCAACTTAGGATTGAACACCCTAGTACGACTTTTCCCCCATGAATAGTTGTTAAATCTATCAAGATCATCCACCAAATAAAATCACCACGGGTTAATATATGTATTCTCCTCTACTACCAAAAGTACATATACAAATATAACAAGGAAACTCAACTTATATTTATCACTCTTATACTTGCAACGTTTGAAAATATCTAACAATAAACCTCTCTTTATTTCGCCATTGCTATGCTTGAAATTTTCTTTCATGAGTCTACAATTCTACCTAGTGTCGGATCCTCTTCCTCCATATTCCCAACTTTAAACCCAGTCACCAATGCACACTATTGCAATCCAAATCTTGCAAGGTTGTTTCTAATTTTAGTCCATACTTCATTTTCTTTTGAGGTATTTATCGACCTCAAAATTAACTAGTAAACCAATTGTGACGTAAGTCTTATGTCCCTCAAGCTCAACAAATGTCCAAAGCAGGGGTTTGTGAATAGGTCTTGATGCTTATTATCCAAACTGTAGAAAACTTCATCAATCAATTGCATTCTATACCTATTACTTATTTTCACGTTCACTATGTCTTCACCATTAATTTTTTGCCAATGAAAAATGTAAAACAATAATTGAGTTAGGAATCTTATTGATGTAAGTCATCCAAGCTGTAGAATACTTCATCAACCAATTTTATTCTACACCTGTTACTTATCTTCGCGTTTACTATATCTTCACCATCCATTTGTTCCTGCAACCAAAAAGGCGAAACAATAATTGAGTTAGGAATCTTATTCCTCAAAGAAATCATTTACCAAATTTCGACAAAAATAACAATGGACAGCATTTGGGCATTCTCTATATATAAAGGCGAAAAAGCATTGTTAGATAATAACAAACAACTAGAGGACATCACAGCATATCAAGAGAAAGCAACCAAAGATCATGTATCAAGAAACTCCCAAAAACATTCAGCTTATCCGAATTATCGAGGCTCAGACGGGTCGTCGCTGCTTATACTCGTGTTTATAGGCAGAACGACATGTGTGTCGTTTTATATATAGTAACGGTACAAGCATCGTTTTCATGGACTTTGATTTACAAATATAACGACAATTATACCGTTCTAATAGACTTTCTCATACCAATAACGACACAAGTGTCGTTTTCTACACAGTTGTGACACTTGTGTTGTTCTCGTAGTTCTTTTCATAACTCAGCAAAGGCACAAATGTCATTCTCGTGGACTTTTATTTAGAAATATAACTATAGTTGGCTATTTGAAGGCCACTTCAATCGAGATTACCAAATAGCAACATTAAGACTAGTAATGTGCATTTTATTTGCAAGTTAAGTTCTAGCAAAATATAATGAAGCCTAATCAAATTGAGTTATAAAAGCACTAGAAATTTCTGTTCTTAATCATAAGAAATCAAGTCACTAGATTTCTGTTCAAAATCAGTTCACCGCAAAGCATTACTTGTATGCTGCAAAGATAGACAGACGAGGTAAAATCAGTATACTCCTCAAGGGCTGCCATAATTGGAATTTGCTCGAATTGAAGTTTAACGAAGAACCCGCACTAGAATCTCTTCTTTAGCAGTGACCATTTTACCAATTTACATAGACTAATTCAGTTAGCTAGTGGATTCAAGAACACAGAAACTAGACATTCATTATGAAGGTCAAAGATCCAATGAATGTCTTTAGTACAGGATTTACATTATATAGTAAATGGTACCATACTATGTAGATCTGATCCCATTATCTTATACTACGTGGAGCATAATCGTATTGTTTTACTTACCCACTCGACTGGAAAAATGATCTATAGAGGTTGAACTACTGTAAATATGTATCCATACATTTGCTTATTATTGATCTCGTAATTGGTTTTACAGCTTTATATCCAACAACAATAAGTAAGAACAGTAGATTTTGAAGAATCATTCCAAAGAGGGAATGGGCTTGTTATTCAATATCAAAATGATTACACCTAAACACTTTATGCAGTAAATACCATACTTCTGCGATGAATTCTCATGTCAACCACAAACAAGCACATTCAAGAAATTTCACTTTCAAACCACAAAAATTTAACATAAACATTAAGAGGAATGACTCATCAAGCGAGTAGAAAATGTTCATCCAAGCTATTGAAAACACTGACAATTAAATTTTCATTAGTGACAGTCTCAATCTGTTGCCCTGAAAATTGACCATTAATCAATATTCCCCACCATACATACACATTTCAGTGTTAATTTCTCGAAATAGTGTGAAAAACGGAGAAGAAGATAAGATGAACTTAACCAAATGCAGTCGATTTTATTGGGTTTACAGTAAAGTTAAAAGCAATAAAAGGGGAAGAAGGAAGGCGTTCATTTTAAAAAATGGAGAATATGGTTTTAAAGCCGGTGAAATGAGGGGAAAATGGTGATTTTTAAGTTAATACTTGAAGGGCAATTTTGTCATTTTACCATTTAATACATTTTATTTTTTTATTTTTAAATATGAGTCAAAGGCCATTTGTCCAAATTATTTGTCCAGCCTGCTAACTAGCCAAATTTCCCTAAAATTTTGATTCGGGTCGGGCACTTTGGGTTGAAAACTTTAAACATATGGAGTTAAATGTTTCAATATTTGCTCAACGTATTTCTCACAAATTACTCACTAAATTTAAAGTATTTTAC